TGGGATGATCGTAAGAGGATGACGAAGGCAGAAATAACTGATCTGGCTGACGTCATGCAAAATCTCAGGCCTTGTAAGTTTCGGCCTTGTCACAGTATTCTAGAATATTGATTAAACTTCCTATCTCAAGAGTTACTTTAATTTTTTTCTTGTACGCTTAGCGATGATTCAATCATCAGTCCTTAGTTAATTCTTTACTGCATGAAAATTAAATTTCCGATTGATTTAAATGGAAGAATTTGGGATAATCTATAAATAGCAATAAAGAAATGTAAATATGTAGATAATTTTTTTTAGTTATTTATTAATAGTGAACAGAAATTAATCTTAAATTTCAAAACGAGGAAGTATTAAAAATAAAATTGTGTGTACCGTATGGCATAATGGGTGGTGACGGATATTTATGTAATTAACCAGGGCAGAACATTGAGACAAAACTTCACAAAAATTGGTATAGCTTTGAGTAGAATACACAGCATTATATTTATGTAAAAGGAATATTTATTTTGTCCACAGTATCAAAGCAAGGATGCATCAATTTAACATTCACAAAACAAATTTGTGTAGTCCTGTTAATTGCACCGTACAGTAGCCATTTTTTTTATTAATATTTTGCCTTCTTTCGGATAAGTCACGATAGCTATAGAGTTTGCGATGCCAATATCTTACTATCCTTCCATTGCAGACACACAACCTCCAGATGTAACGCACAACACGGCTCAGTCACGACGTATGACGGCTGCCGATAGGGTCAACAGATATAAGCAGTCTCGCCAATCTTCTGCCTCCGATGATATGGGTACGTTATGGATCGGAGCTTAAGACTGTCTGTAGCAGAAGAGGGCTCTTCGTGTTTTTTAACGCTGACCGACTGGTTTATTGCAGCCATGGTCACAGGTACTGGAAGGTGGAAGGTGTCCGCCAAAATACAGCAGCTGCTAAACACTCTGAAGCGACCGAAGAGAAGACCGCTGCCCGAGTTTTACGAAGATGATGACATCGAGCTGGAGATTGCAGCTAACCCCAAAGACCCTAATGCCCCAAAGCCAGAAGGCAGTTCAATGACTTCTGCAGTTGGCGAACAACTTGTGGTGTGTACAGCGCATGTGAATCCTTAGAGAACGTAAAGACTTAGATATATAAGGAGCGAGCGGATATGTTTAGTCACGGGTTTATAGATTATTGATATTATTGTCACAACCATTTTTAACACACGTTGATTTTAGTTACATGGGATATATTTCTTTTCTGGAACAAAAAAAAAAATTATTTGTTTCAGGTACCATCTGGTCTGCCCAGAAACCTTGAGGCAGCGATCCAGAGGTACGGCTCAGCTACTTACAAGGCACCTATTGCGACTGTTTTGGATCCTAATGGAAAACTTACCATAACACTCACTTATGGTAAGAATCTTGGAACATACTTCATTAATGGCTTCTTTTTTTTTGCAGAGGTGGTTGTTACTAAGAGAATAATTAATATTCTGTAGAATTTTGCCATTGTGAGGCAGGTAAATCATAGATCTTTTAATTAGCCGCCACCCCCCTTCAGTTTCACGTACCATAGAAGGTAATTTTCAATCTTGGTATGATCTGTTATTTTAAAAATACTTAAAGAATTGTGTATTTCATAAATGAGCAATACCTGATAATAGAAAAATTGTTTCAATATTAATATTGTCACAATATTCTGATAATTATGACATGTTACAGGCAAGCTTCTCAGTCGGTCACAAAAAATTGCCTACACGCTTTTGAACAAGGCTTTCAGCAAAGGAGGAGAGACGTGTCTCAAATCGGGTGACCGCATCGCCCTCGTCTACCCCAACAACGACCCCATCAATTTTATTTGTGCATTCTACGGTTGCCTTCAGGCCGGCATCGTTCCCGTCCCCATCGAAGTGCCGCTAACGCGAAGGGTACGTATCGTTTTCTCGGACTTTGATTTAGTTCTCTCCGTACTTATTATCGTTAATAATTTTTGTAAACATACAACTTATGCTAAGAAATTAAGTATAATAGATCTTGTCATTTCTTACATGACAATTAAAATCTTTTAATAGGCAAATTTATGATTATTTATAATGATTTTTTTTTTTTGCTTTTATCGTTAGGATGCGGGTTCCCAACAGATTGGTTTCCTGCTAGGTAGCTGTGGTATCCAGGTGGCTCTGACATCTGAAGCTTGTCTGAAGGGATTGCCCAAAACAGCTGCTGGAGAGGTGGTGGCATTTAAAGGATGGCCAAAATTGCAGTGGTTTGTCACAGAACACCTCGCTAAAACTCCCAAAGACTGGTTACCTCCTCCAAGACTGACTGATGATACTCCGGCTTACATAGAGGTAAGCAGATTTCTGCCGACTCTGTTTTGTTTTATTTGTGATTTTCTTTTTAAGAATGGTGTAGCAATGTGGTAGCTAATCAAAGTCAGCGTTTTGATTTCGTTTTGATAACTAATAAATTGTAAGACTTGAGGTTCTCACAGCGGTGAGTATGAAGATATC